TCATTGTTTACTAATCCAACTTCGTTCAAATGCTCTCCACAAAGAAACTTTTTTTGAACATAAGCATCAATAATACCTTGCCCTTTAAAGAATTTAAAATTTTTTGAAGAGTTATTAATGTGGCATACGAAAGAATAGCGATGAGAAGCAGTTGTTCGAGGTATGTCCATCAAAATTGATGTAGTTTTTTCGCTTCTTTCTCTGCTTTTTTTTATAGCCCTATTAATTTTTTTTTAAACTCAACAAGAAAACCATTTGAAGACTTTTGTTCAGTTATCTGTGTTCATTTTGTTTAATTATCAGTGGAAAATCCGACACTTGATTTGTTTTAAACTTTTCAGGCAACTTAAGATACTCTTTTTGAAAATCAAACGATTAAGTCACTATAAACCCAATTAACAGTGAATTTATTTCCTTATTCTCCTTTCTCCGTGCACTTTCAATGCAAGCTCCGCATGTGTTCCAAGCTCAATATTTTTGTTTTTGTTAATTGCTTCTCGTATTTCATTTAGGAACATCAACATTCTTTCTAAAAAAACTCTATATATTTCATGCTTATTTTTGACTTTATCCTATTTTTTGAAACAACATCTGCATCTATATTCCCGTTATTAAACCAAGTTTGTTCCAAACTGTTAATCTTTTCATTTTGACACTTTATAATTTAAAAAAACTTTCTTATATTCCCGAACTCTCTTCCGTTAGAAAGACTTTTTAATAACATTAAGTTAACAATACAGTCGATTAAGTGAAACGTCTTAGAAAAATGCAAGACTTTTTTTTAACTTTTTTTCCATTAAATAGGCGGTTAAATAATTCTAATAGTTAATTATTATATATAAACAATTATAATTAATTAATCATACGCATTATAGTCAAAATAATAGTTTTGTAATAATTTTAGACATTTATTTAAACACAAATCAAATAGGGATAGTTATACGCCGGTTCTAGGAAAAAATCCCCCGGAAAAAAATCCCCTCGAGAAAAAATCCCCCCAGAAAATATCCCCCCCAAAAAATATACTTTTTTTACTTAAAAATTATCAATATGTAGTTATTATTTTTTTAAATATTTATATAAAATACTTCATTTTTCATCAAAATTATGCGCTATTCATCGAAGTAATGTGCTATTCATCGAAGGCAGCGAGTGTGAAACCCTAACTCTAACCCTGACGAACTGCAAACTGGTAAAATATGAACTTTTTTGCAAACCATCGTCATATTGGTTGTTATTGATGTAATACTGTGCTTATGATTTACCGTTAAATAGTTAATTTAGCAGTTTTATTTAAGGACTTCTAAGTAAGAACATAATTAAAAAAAAATTAGGTAATTAAGTGAAACTAGACGAATATAATATGACATATTATTATTTTTTTTATTTATTTGATAGACTGCCTGCCCAAACCAAACACCCAGTCAATGTAGCAGCACTTCGTTGCGAGTCAGGATATTTGTCAGTCAATGTAGCAGCACTCCGTTGCGAGTCAGGCTATGAGATAGTCAATGTAGCAACACTCAGCGCATGTTTTACAGTTAAAAAATAAAATTTTTATTTTAAATAAAGCTTTAAAATACATAATTGAGAATTGAAAAGTTTTTTTTATCTTGATCAAAAAAATAGTGTCATTAAAATATAATGTTTTGGTTTGCAAAACAGTACTCATTTTACCGATTCGCCATTCGTGGTTTGCAGTTTGCATTTTACCGACAACCGAGGAATAACGCATTACTTGACATTTTGATGAAAAATGAAGTATTTTAAAAATTATTTAAAATAAGTAAATATAACTATTTTATTTATAATTTTAAACTTAAAAAAAAAAGTTATTTGGGGGGATTTTTTGCGGGGGATTTTTTCTCTGGGGATTTAATCCAGGGGAGTTTTCTCGGGGGATTTTTCCTACGGGGATTATTTGGATTTTTTTTTCCGAACCCGTTGATAGCCGTTTTTCATCACAAAAGCGAAGTTGAGTCAAACTAGAAGTAAATATGTTTACACGTTTTAATAAAAATTGATTGATTTTATCTAATAAGAAGACCCTTGACCGGAATGTTTTTTTAATACGTAAATAACAAGAAGAACACTTTTATTATTTTTATCATACTTCGTTAAAAATAATAAAAAATAGGGAAAGACATATATTTTTAACAAATATTTTATCTCCTTGGTTCCCTATAAAAATGAGTACCTAATTAAAAAAAAAAGGTCTTTAATATGTAATATTGCCCCCCCCCCCACCTTTCTAATATGAAAATTGTGGCCACGGCTCTGAATATTGTTAATATTAGAAATTTCACCGATGTAAAATTGGACATTACGTCACGAATTTAACAACAAAATAATTTTAAAAAAATTATTTTTACATAAAAAAGTGTAAAAACTTATTAACTTTTAAATTATATAATTTTTTTTCTTAAAACGCTTTTATTTGTCAATAAAAAAATTTAAAAGATTTACCTTTTTTTTTATAAATAATTGTTTACATAATACAGAACAAAAATATTTACTGTTAAAATATTGCTAATCATTTGGGATCACTTTTCTGTCATTTGCAATTTTTACTGAAAACCTGTCTTGGGCCAACTATGATTCGCTAACATAGCATAACATGCTTGATATATTCTATCATATTTCTACGTCATCTTGGTGACTTTTTTATTAAAAATTAACTTTTAATGCATTTATACTTTAAAATTTTTCTCTTTTTAATGTAAAATATAATATTTACGATGGATGACGTAAGTTATTTTAATTTTGACCTTTTATGCAAATTAAAATATAAAAATCATTTTATCAACCTTTTGCTATGTTAGCAAATATGTTTTTAAACTTAGCGTATTTAGCACTAAATTTGTTTTTGCATGAATTTTTGTTAAAATTTTGAAGCATTGACGTAAATTACGTCATATAAAGTTAAATGCGTTACAAAATCACACTCTAGTTTAATTTTGGTAAGTAATTAAGCTTATCAATTTTGTAAAATTCTCTACACAAACTTAAATATTTTTTAATTACGCATGTTAAATCTTTAATATTGATAAATATATTTAAATTCCAGTCAAACTCTTTTTTTTTATAAAAAAAACATTTTATGTAATATTTGGCAATTTGGTTGACTGACTTAAAAAACCCCTCTATTAATTCGCATTAGGTTTAAGTAAAATTTTTTGCTCTAAAAGTGGTCTGACAGTGTTTATATTATATATTAAACAACACAAGTCTATATTTTTTGTTTTGTTTTGCTAAAAAGTAACATTAAATTTATAAAAATCAGCTAAAGTTGTAATATCTGCGCGTTTATTTAAAATCCAAAAAACCTTATGATATTTTATTGAATGCTTAACGATAAAACAATTTATTGCTGTTTATATTATTTTTACAGAACAAAATTATCGGGAATATTTCAAAAGTAATAACAATTTAAGTAACACCCCTAAAGTAATTAAAAAAATAACAAGAAGCCGTATGTCCACCTTTAAACAGCCGTGAGAGATTCTGATTTTTTATTATTGTTAAAACAAAGTATGATAAAAATTGTCTTTTACATTTTTTGAATAGGTTTTACTTTATTTTATCAGCGTTTTTTTTAGTGTTTTTAAAAGTAGTGAATTTATTTAATAAACAAGCTTTTTAAGTTTTTCCTTTTATTTTAAAGGTGTTTATTGAATCAAGATCATGCGAACTTTATACAAGTAAGTAAAAATTGATCTTTTATAAGCTGGTTTGTATACTTGTATTGGTTAGATATTTGATATTTTTTAAATTGAAACTTTAATAATTTCTTGGTTTGCAACAGATTACTATTTTTAATTCATTTGTACAAATAACGAAATTATCTTTTATTTTTATTCAAATTTTTTCCAATATATAAAAACTTTTTGGAAATAGTAATACAAAAACAAGCATTATAAAAGATATTTTTTTTAATATTGATCTTTATAAAAAATTTTTATTCCAATAATTTTTATAATTACATTTCGTTTCTAAAAATCTTTTTTTTCAAAAAAACATTTTTCCTAGCCGAAAGTCATAGACCATGTTTAAGTCCATTTCCATATTTTAAGAATATCATGTTGTAAATTTAAATGGTCTTTTTCATTGGAAACAGCAGCTATTATCTTTGTGTTGTCTTCAAACAATTTGAAGTGGCATGTAATAATGTTCAAAATTTCATAAATGTATAAAACAAAAATGTCCTTACACTGATCCTTAGGTAGGGGAGACCGGGGTAATTTCGCCACGAGGGTGATTTCGTCACTTTTAATATTTCAAGAAAAAATGTTATTTTGGTATAACATCATATTAAGATGATGTAAAATGTTTATTATTTTAAAACTATTTACATGACCCAAAAAACACTGGTCTTGGTAAATCTATTCCACAACGACCTTTTCTATACTTATTCATAACTTCAATATGTTTTAGTTAGAGGTGGAAAAATAATTAAATGCATATATAATAACAACACTTATTGTTTACTTCTTAAAGCTATAAAATAAATTTTCTATTATGCTTAATTTTACCTGGTCATGGTAGGTGTATTCCACACCTTCCATTTTAATAATTTCGTTTTACTTCAATCTTTGTTTGGATTTAACGATAAAATTTTAATACTTTACAACTTCTGTAAACTAATGTTTTTTCAGGCCTCCAGCAGCTTATTACATAGATCATCCAGGTTATTTTTTCAAAATCCTGAAAACTGTTATGGAAAAAAATCCGGAATATAGTTTCCCTTATTTTCCTTTTAGTTTTGCTTTTAGCTGAGTTGTTTCAAATTATTTTAATTTTAGAATAAGTAATGAGTTAAAAACCTTAAAAAATAATTTTGTTAAAAAATGTATTTCTAACCTTGTTATGTATGAAAAACGTTTTGGCTATCCCGAAAAAAAAAAAGTTTAGAAAAAAACCCGCAAATATCCAAAAAAAGATATTCCCTGTTATTAGGACTATTGAACTGTTAATTTTAAAGAAAATCAAAGTTTCCGCGTAATATCTTTTTCCTATAAAAAAGAAAATTGCCTCTTTCATATGTACAGTTAATCTATTAATAAGCACATTTAAACCTTAAACTCTATCATGACACAGACGCAACAAATTCTAACTTTTTTATAATTTACATACTTTGAAGTTAAAGTCATATATTTGCATATGCTTTTGTTTACACAGATAAAATACGAATCATGACGGATTGTGGTTTCAAAAAAATTCTCAATAATTTTGTAAAGTTAAAGATGTTTTTGTTTGCACATTTATTAACAAATTAATAAAACAACAATTTTTAATAGTTTTCAATTGTATGTCTATATTGAACAAACACGTCATCTGAATAATCTAAAAAAAGTAATCGAATTAAAAAAGTAGAAAAATACACCACATGTATTAACTGAAAATCAATTTGTTTACATATAATAACAAAGCAAAATTTTTAAAGAAAAGTATATGTTTACAAAAAAGTTTAACTTGCACTTGATAATGCAAATTAAATTTTCAAAGATTTAATTTCCATTATCCAATATCCATTGGTAAATTAACCAACTACAAAAATACTATTTATAGATGCAGCGTATTTATTTCCTATCTTTCTTTCTCCTCACACTTTACTTTCTACTAAAAAAAAAAGAAGGGAAGAGGCAGAAATTTTGCTCTAAATTTAAACCTGTATGAGAGTAGACCCTCTATTTGATCTGTAATAAGCTAAAAAAGCATTGCAAGATGTCTAAACCGAAAAAAAAAAAAAAAATTTAAGGAATGATAAAAGAATTATAAACATTAGAGATCAACACTAAAAACTAATTTACCTGCTGCTGATGCCTTTTTGAGAGGATTGTTAAAAATAGTCAAAATCTAAGGTGTAAGAAAAGACATTTATTGCGAAAACAATTAGCTATTACACAAAATAACAAAATATATTAGCTATCAGTGCAAATAAGTTTTTTAATTTGATCAGAAAACAAAATTAGTCTTACCTTTCGTTAGAAGTTCTTTAAACTAAATGTTTTAAAAGTTTATTAAAATTATATAGAAAATATTTTCCTGGAAAATTTTAACAGCAAGCATTTGGTAATTGGAATTTGCTATGTGATGCATATAAGTTCTCGCCTAGCCTTATTTTTTTCATTTTCATTATAACTTATCTCAGCTCGCCTAGGCTCATCTCTTTTAATAGACGACAATTTATCTCAGCTTGCCTAAACTGGTTTCTTTTATTTTGAGTAAGTCTAATAAATTCACTTCTTATATTATCAGACATTTTCTAAGAATCAACGGAGCGTGTAAAAATGTGCTTCAAATTATAAAAGTTGAACTTTTATTTTAAGAATAAAATTTGAGTTTTCTTTCTTAAACTTATCTAAAATACAGTTTAAGCAAACAAAACAACATAATATAATAATCTAATTATATTCTGCGCAATCATTAATCATATTCAAATTAGATGTTTTAAAAAAAATTTTTATCAAGAACTTAAACTAAAATTATGAATAAATTGATATAATCTTTTTAATTGAGTATTGTTATGTATTTAAAGTAATACTTATTAATTATTGACTAAATATTATAAGTATTTAAAGCAAATTGATAAAATTACAAGGCCTGTCTACTCATTAAGTACTGCTAGCATTGAACATTGAAATGCAATACTCCATCTTAAAATCCCTTTTACTACTTTAAAACGCATTTAATGCAAGATTTTCAATAAATAAGTATATACAAAACTAATTATAGTAAACCTCTATAAACAATTATTTGCTTCCAGTAACGGAATTTTCCAGTAAACTTGGAAACATTGAAACTTCTTGAACAATTTTACTATTTTTTAACATATTTAATATTCTAAAAAAAGGTCACTAATACAATGCAGAAAAATTAAAATGTCTGTATTTATTTGTGTATTTATTTATCATCAAAAGTATAAGTAGTTAACAAAATAGAACAGAGTGTATATCTTTGAATAACTTTTTTTTTAAATTAATAAAAAGCAAATTGTTAATGAAAAAAAAATTTTTTTTTTTAAATAACAACAGTATGTAAATATTTAATTTTGTATACATCTTTTCGATAAAACTTACTTAAAATTATAAATATTAAAAGAATTAAAGTTAATAAAAAAATATATATTTTTTTAACATCTCCTTTTTACACATTTTTTCAACAGTATTTTTTTAATAAATTTTATGACTACACTAACACCAAACAGATTTAATTATAGAGTTTCATCATGACAGTGCACCACTGAATATGAATTATTGTTATGAAAAGTTATGAATGCTGTGCTTTCTCATCATCTGGAGACACAAATGTACTTGATGCTATTTTAGAACAATCTATTTATTCATACTAAGGGTAATAAAAAAAAAGCCAAAACTCATTGTTGTGAAAAAATAAAATATTGCTTGGTATCATGACCAAGAAAAATCCTTTAAAGGTATGATTGTACTATCACTATTGATTACTAGAATATTAGTCCCTAAATCTGGTTACACCGTTCGTGGAAGAAAATCCATTCTCAAATTTCCATAAAATCATATTGAAAAAATTGCAATATATTCAACTCTAGAGCAATAAAACTTAATTTTCTATTACTTTTAGTTTCATCCACTTCATAAATTTTGACAGATTGTATTAGCTAAGTTGTTGTAGGAAGAAAATAAAAAAATTGGAGCTTTTTTAATTTCCAAAAAATAATATACGATTTGTTTGTAACGAAAAAATTAAAATAAAAATCAAAACTGCTTTTTTATAAACTCTTATGATAAAATTCTCATAAAAAGCCTGAGCTTTAATTATTTATATCATTTTCTTTATAGATTTAGTATCTGAATTAACAAAATATATGCAAAATCAAGCAAAAACCCATGAAGAAAACTGGAGGACTGTTTGCTTCTTGTGTCTTGGCAAGGCTAGTCGCTTTTTAACCAGCCAGAAAAATTGAACAAATTCTGAAGCCGCCAATCAACTTTAATGATCCGAAATTCCTAACTGGCAATTGTGAGCGTTGCCGCTCCAACCTATGGAGGCTTGAGGAGGGTAAGCTTCGAACCCAACTACAGCTCTTTGACTTCTCCAATATCAAAGTCCCTCCAGTAACTAGAGGTTCAGTTTGTAATTGTTTAATTTGCTCAGTTGGTAAAACATGGCACTATTCTCCACATCCTGTCTTAGCAACCCTGAAACATAAAACAAACTAGAACTCAGTTGAAAGAAGATGTTTTCAATGCTTTTTAATAGTTGACAAAGGTATTTCCCACATTTGCTCAAAATCCACTTTGCGAAAGAATTTAGCAGAAGTTGTGTCAAAGGACTCTGTTGCAGTTGAAAGAGTTGCATCAGTCATTACCAACAAGGAAGCTTCACCTCATGAAAAAGTTCGTCTCAGTAAACCAGAGAGAATAAGAGGCTACTCTTACTTTTAGGCTACTTTTCCAGTTCTTCTAGGTAACAATGCATTAGATATTTAAAGTTTTAGCTTCATATTTTAAGTCTATGTAATGCATAATCATATAAAATCTTTCTTAATTATTTCAAAGATTCAGTTTTCAAAGCATAAAGGCTTTTTAATAAAGAAGCAAAAATGACAGAAATCAGGTAGATAAACTTGTCATTTACTGGAAAGATTTGAACGCTCTTTATCAGCAAATTCTTGAAACTAGAAACATCTCTGATAACTACATTATAAAGCTGGGAGTGGATGGTGATAGTGGTTTTTTAAAAGTAAGCTTTGGGATCATGGAAAAAGTTTCAGCTTTACAATCTCCGCCATCAAAACAACTTCTCACCATTTCTATCGCCAAAGATTTTGGTGTTACGCGTCAGTTACTGATTGCCATTTCTGAAGATCTCCAGAAAAACTCTAGCAATGTCAAGCAAGTTTTTGATTTGCTAAGCATTAAAAAACTTCCCTTTATTTTGCCCTGTGATATGAAGCTGGCAAACATCATTTATAGTCTAAAAGCACATTCTAGTGCATTCTCATGTTTTTAGCGTGACATTTCATCAAAAGATTTTGCTTAGTTTGAATCTCTAAAAACTTTTGGATCAATCAGAAGAGATTATCAGGCACTCAATGTGGCTGGTGCTAACATCAAGAAAGTAAGTTTATTCAGAAACTCTGTTCATAAACCCATCATTAATGCCTCAGATGAATGTTTTGTTTTTAATGTTCTTCCACCCATGGACCTTTATCTGTTGTTTGGTGTTGTAAATCATTTTCTACTCTCTCTCTTAAAGATTTGGACACATGCTCCAGAATGGCTGGCAATACTTCATATTCAACATCAGCCATTTCATGGTGGACAACTGGCTGAAAATGAGTGCAGAATGCTTTTGAAGAATGTCGATATTTTAGAGAGATTGGCCTAGCAGCACTCCTTTTTTCCAGCTGTTACTTTTATTGACTCACTAAGAAAATTTAATTCTGTTGTCCATGTTTGTTTTGGCAATGCTCTTGATTACACCTATGCTGAAAAAATTGAGCAGTTCAGAGTCTTTACAACTTCAAGACACTACCATCACTCCAAGTTTCATGCTGTCATTAACCATGTTCCAAAATTCATTAAACGCTTCAATAACTAAAATATTTTTAAAACCAACTTTGTTAGCTACTTATCAGCTATGTGTTTAATGGGAATTTATGCAAAATTTAAAAAATAGAATTTCTTTCACGAACGGTGTAACCAGATTTTAAAACTTGTAACCTAGTAACCACTAATAATAGTACAACCACGCCCCAAAGGATTTTTTTACTACAATGTACTGTTTATAAATGCTACGACATAAGTACTTTAAATAGAGAAATATTCTATTTTATATTTTTATAATTTTAATGAAGAAAAAAAGTTTTTAACATTCTAAGAAAAAGACTTTGTTGTTATACGCCATGCAAATAATTTCCTGCTAAAAATCAAGTAATGTTATAATCTTTACTCTATTTTAAAACATAGTTTTTCGCTTGATTTTTTAATTTTATTTGTTTGCTTGAAAAAATATATTTTGTGAAATTGTTCGGCAAACTTAGAGTTAGCAAAACTATGTATTGGAAGTTGCCCAAAGGTGGGGTTTGAACCTCGTATTCTTTTTTTTTTAAGGCTAATGCGTTTTCACTGCGCAACAGCTGCTATCTTAATATCCCTTTTATTATATGCATGTCAATAATGCCCTTTAAGTTAATCTCTGTGTTAAATCTTTTCTCCTAATGTAAATAAATAAAGCATTAAAGCTTATACAAGAAAAAACATCAGTATGATATTTTTTTTGTCTGATTTTTAACTTAATTAACTTGTCTATTGTTAAACTTTTGTGTATTTTTCTTTAAAAACTCTTTTTAAAAAATTTTTTTTATTATTCTCATAACTTTCATAATAAAAAAAATAAAATAGTTTTTATTTTTAGATTCATTTTTAGAGAATAAATACACTAGCAGTTCTTTAAATGGTTTTTATGATGAATATGTGATATCTTTTTTTATCTTATCTAATGGAAATCCAACATATTCTGTTATAACTATAGTTGATGAAAACGTTGGGAAATATCTGAACTTTAATATTGATACCAATCGTTTGTTTAACATTTATATATCTGGTACCTTTTATAGCATTGCTTATATATCTAATACATGGAGTTCAATCGTAGTATCTCAATCTTTTATACATGATAAAAATACATATAATGTTACAGTAGATTTTAATGGAACTGTTAGTTTTTTTAATGAAAATACTAAACCAAAGGTAATCATTAATGCTACTTTGTGGACTTTTTATCAGTGTTCCTTGAAACCTACATGTAGTTATGGATCAATAAAAAATTTATCAATTTACAGTACAACACAAGGTAAATATTATATATAATGCTATCTAATTTAAAGTACTTAAATTGATTTAATGGCGAACCTGATAATGAATATATACATATATAAAAATACGCTATGCTTTTTAAATGTGTAATGAAATGAAAAAACCTATTTACCTAAACATGCTTTTAAACTTTTCACCAAATATAAAAGAAAAATATCACAGCAGGCATTTGTTTTTAAAAGTTACGTTCTAAATAAAGTTTATATGTCTTTTAAACGTCTTCTAAACATTCTTTCGTAAAGAAAGATTAAAAAACATTAAAAAAACTTTTAAAAACTAATGCTCGTACGGGTGTACCTTCACATTAAATACAAACACACACTTATAACAACTTTTTTTAAAAAATTAGAAAAGTTTGAAAAAATTATAAATTACCAAATAAATTATAAAATAATCATTGGCAAAAATACTTGAAACAACGTGCTAAAAACTTTAGCGCAGCTTTCATAGTCAAAGATGACCTAGACCTCACGACCAATCTCTATTTGTCAATCAATATATATTAATTTTATTGCACGAAAATACTTGTTTCTTCACACAACAGTTTTATTCGTCAAGGTTTGTGTTTCACATTTAAGGAGTTGAGAGAGTTTTAACAAAAATAACGACTCTTTGACTGGTAAGGGCTTGTCGGTCTTGGGAAGTTGAGCTCATAGAAAACATTTTTTTTTTTGACCGTCAATGTATGTACATTTATATGTGCCAATCTCTGTTGGTCAGTCAGTGTATGTAGATTTATTTGCGCCAATTTCTGTATTTATATCTTAAAAAAAATGTCTTTATGGTGTTTTATTCAAACAAATATATACTTATCAAAACATTCATCTGAATTTTAAAATTTTTTAAATTTGACAACAATAAAAACCACGTGGCTCAATTAGAAAAAAAATTTTTTAAGAAAAGTTATTGGAAGATGAAAACCAACTGTTCACATAAGCGGAAACTCAATAATATCCTTACTTAGAAATCAAGATATTATGATCAACCTAATCAAAACCTTTTAAAAATCAATACAAAATGCTACAAAAAAAAAAGAAAAGATTGTATCAACAGCTTAATTGATTTTTTTTTGTTATCGTGTGATTTGGCCCTGTTCTTTGTGCCTCTATTGTTTTAAACTTTCATTCACTACCTAACCAAATCTGTTCCCTATATTCTGCTTTACTTTTTACAAAGTTGTACTATTTTGTGTAGAGTTACTAGAAAACAAAAAATTGAGTTAAAGATCAAGAAAACAATCGACAGAAGACTTAAACAGTTTTGGGATGTACAAGAATTTTGAAAGTAGAACAAGAAGAAACTGAACACAAGGTAAGGTTAGAGACAAGAAACAAATCAAGAATTGAAGTTAAGTAATTAGAGTTGTTTGAAAAACGAATCACCGAGTTAATTACCTGATTAAGAGATTGAAAAAAACAGAAAATATGAGTTTAGATGCCAGCAGGGTCAGTGGTGTAGGATTCAAGTTATTTAGTGTGATGATCATTAAAGTCACTAATAACAACAATACTGGCTAATAGGTAAAACAAAGAGGCATGGTCAGTTTGTTCTAAATAATTTTTATTAATTAGAACAAATTTACCATTCCTTTTTGATTAATCTTAACTGTAAAAAAAATCTAAAAGCGTACAGCCATGAAAAGAACATATAAAAAAAGGTGAAACTACTCGGTCCTAATTTTTACGACAAATAATTAAATTGGCAAGTAAATGCACCCCCAAGCCAAAAATTTATGCATAGAACCAAAAAGATCTAACATTCATCATCCTACACAGAAAATAATGTAACACATCTTTACATCTAAAAGATGTACAAGATGTTTATTATATGTATCCTAAAGTCATTTCTTATTAGACCCACTACATCGGCCCAAGATAAGTATTTTTATTAAGAAACTATTTCTAGCGTTAACTCTACCAAGAACTCGAAGGCAAAATTTTTTTATCTGGAGACAGTTAACTTTTTTATTGAGATACCATCCTTAGCCTTTACTTCATCAAGAGCCCCAAGGTAAGGAAACTTAGTCTGGATGCAGTTAAGATCTGTCCATGATGAATATATTTATCAAGACAACATATTTAGCCTTTACTTAACCAAGAGCCCCTGGGCAGGGGAACTAAAGCTGGATGAAATTAACATCTACTCAAATTAATTATTTTTATCGAGACACCATCTCTAGTCTTTAATCAACCTAAAGCCTCAAGGCAGAAAACTTTTTAGTCAGAGTTTACATCTCCTAATTTTTTCCTACTAAAATAAAAAACCCTACAAGACAGCATGGCATGGGATAAACTACATACTATCAATAACAGGGTATTTAAGATTATCCTTAACTTTAATCTTGACCCGGATTAGTTAAAAGACGAAGTCTTTTCCTGTAACAAGTACTTAATGGGAGTTACTTTACAATGACATCTAGAACTTGCTAAAAATGCCGATCCTACAAAGCAGCTGAACAAGGGTATGTTACGTTGTGTTACATATTACCAGTACCTGGATAAAATGTTACCAGTACATGTAACAGGTTGAAATCATATAATAAAACTGGTTGTTGCCAATAAATAGCTCCTGGTTACATGAGTTTCATATTATCTGGACTTGGAACAGGTTGCACTAATTCATAAGAATAATAAACTTCAAACTAGTTTATTTACATGCATCGGAGTCCTTCAAAAAGTTTAAAACTCCATAAAAGTACAAATTAAGTCTGCATTCCAGCCTCCAGTTTTTATTTCATAAACCAGCACTCCCATTGTTGAAACAGCACAAATTAAACTAACATTCTTTCCACAATCTGCAGATGACTTCAAAAATCCTGGCGCACCACTTAGCAAACAACCATATGTGCTGTTGGTGAGCACATTAAATTCAGTTTCATCCGAATAAATAAATTTTTCATTTGAATCTCCTTTAGTTTTGCTTGCAAATGCATAGCGTGCATTAGTAACTCGTGCTTAGTTTCATTTTTCTGGAACATGTGCAACAAGCTTTCTTGATAAATCTGAGCGTTTGAGTTTTCTTAAAATAGGCGACTAAGACATGTTGATTCCTGCTGCAGAAAAAATTTCTTTTACTTCTTGCGTACAAAGATTGTTTCCTTGTACGCATAATTCGATAATATTTTTTATTTGAGTGTTTATAGGTCTTTTACCTCGTTTCTTATCAGAAAACGACTTGAATGCTGTCATGAGGTCAAAATGTCCCCTGTTTAACTTAATGACAACATTAGATTTGTGCACTTATATAAATTAAGAAATGTGGAAATGTTTTTGTAGATTCATTTCTTTTTAACTAAATGCTTAAGCATTTCAATGTGCTCTTTTGTAACATTTTTCCATTGGCACTGCTATTTTCATTTGTCATTTGGCACTGCTATATTCGCATCATTTATCATTTGGTACTGCTATTTTCGCATTCTTCCATAGGTTAAATATTTGTGTATTAATAATAATTAATAATAACTAAAATATAAATCCAGATAAATATTTTGATAAATAATATTTTAACTAATTAATGAATTTAAAAATAAAATTTAACAAAGACCTAATAATAAAAAAAGTAAAAACAAGAGGGTAGTTTGTACCTTAAAAAACCATCATTGAATTTAAAAAGTTTTTTATTATGTATTTATAACCTCATTTACCAGGAAACTAAAACAACTCGTTGAAAAAACTATGCTTTTTCAAAACGCATAAAAGAATAAATAAATACGCATCTAAAGCAAATAAATACGCATATAAAAATGAATAAAAACGTATATCTGTCCTCGCGGTAGAAAAGAGAACAGATAGGTTATTAATACCAAAGAAACAAGCTAATTAAACTGAACAAAATGACACTAAGATCTTTAAAACAGCTCAACTGCATCCAAAGTTATGATTTTTTATATTCTAAATTTTAAAAACGGCACTTGTCGAAAAATTAATTTAAAGTTTTAATAAAAATGCTATTTGCAATATTTTTGGAAAATGTTGAAAGTTATACAGATTTGAATTGAATACATAAGATAACATCATTCTTAATGAAAATAAACAATAAAACAATGAACCAAAACCTGTTTTACTTAAATATTCAACTTTTTAAGGTCAAAATAATACGCAAAAAATAATGACAAAATCAGGAAAAACATGTCTTTTCAAAAATACATAATAAACATAGTTATACAATGTATACTAATTAAAACAATGTCATTATCAGGGGCTGATCCTGGTATTAAGGGGCTACATCGCCGAAAACTCTATTTTCATGAATTTTTCCTTTTTGGATAAGTCCAAATAGCACATCAAAAAAAGAAAATGACCCACTAAGGGGGGCTCAAGCCCCACCAGCCCCTCTGGATCCGTCCTTGGTCATTATCAGTGTAATAGCGAATTCAAGTCGCAATAATAAGTAAACTTAAGTATACCGGTATTTAAACCATTCAGCAAAATGCTACATTATCGCCAAGTAGATAAGGGACCACAAGAACCCGATTTTTTTAAAGTATACATCAAAGCATTTTTTAGGTTGTATTACACAGCAGAATAATGTCTTTGTATTACATGATCACTTATACTAATAAACAATAAAAAAACTTACAGAAATTCTGTTTATAATAAAATTTTAATAAATTTAAACGAAAAACAACACATGAAAAAAATGCTACTGATAAAAATGGTAAACACTTGAGCTTCTCCAAACAAACAATGTATATTTATGCCACCTAGTGATTTAAAATAAATGATACAAAAGTTAGCGTTCGTAAAGTACTGTTTAAACCAAAATGCAAATAAAAAAAAGCTAGAGTTCTTTAAAATTCCCCACTCCGGTTCTTTTTAAAGAACTTTTTCAAACGCTCTACTAGAATTAAACGAACGTTAATTGGACAAAAATAATTCCGCTAATAGTCTGATAATCAATCTATCAAATTCAAATGAAAACAAAAAACTTAAAAATAACAGGCCATTGTGTTTAAACGTGATTTTTTCAGAAACTAGATCCCGCCATGAGGTCCCTTTTCTACTGCGAGATCACATATAAGAATGAATAAATACGCATACAAGAATGAATAATCACGGATATAAAAATTAATAGACGCGCATATAAAAAACGAGTAACTCTTTAATATTTGAATTGATTCAAAGTGAAATAAAAAAAAACATTTTTTTGTGAATGAAATAAAAAAAACTCTTTAAATCATTTTAGTTTTTTCATTTTTAAAATACTTATTTTCTTAGGCATTTTAAAATTATTTGTTTAACAAACTTTGCATAAATAGCAAGGTTTTACTTATATCATTTTAAACGCATTTTATGAAGTAAATATTTCTTATTAATAAATATTGTACCTACAGTAAGTATGATATATCTCCTAATTTTTTAAGTTTATTTAACAGTTGTTTGGTCACAATGGAGTTATTGGTCACAGTGCACAGAATCTCTAAATCAAACTCGAACTCGAGTTTGCAACAGTAATCAATGGTTAAATTGCGCAGGTCAAGGTATTGACCTTAAATCATGCAGTAATCCAGGTATCTTTTTTTTTGTATTTCTTTAAACAATATTTGTACAAACTTTCTTGTAATGAAGCATTTATGACTTAAAATATTTATAAATGCTATTCTTCAACATACTGGTTTTTCTACTTTTTATTCATTAAATCTTTGCCACCATTGTGAGCTCATATAAAAAAACTAAACTTTTATTTCCTATTTACTAACTATGCACCAGGAGAACCCATGTAATGTGGAATGATTTGTAGCGCATTCTATGCCAAACTAGCTATTACCCAACTTATGTCAAAGTAACAAAAATAATAATTTCGGTTTATAATTTCCTAATTTTTTCAGATTTGATTATTATATGTTGAAAGACCTGATGTTTGTTTGTTAAAAAACCTTTTAATATTTTAGAATAAGAATGACAAATAATTTATTTATTTCTTCATCCATGTCTTTTGATTTTCTCACATCTTATGTGTAAATATATTTTTTACTATTTATATTTGAACTTTGAAAATATCTTTAACAAATTAAATACTTTGAAAATTAAAAATTCATTAAAAAAGTTTTTTCTTAATAATTTGTTTTTTATTTTTGACACTTCGAATATGAAAACTGAAATTTTTAACTTTTAAAAATATTGAATCCTTAAATAGCTGTTATAGATGGAATAGCTTTTATAGCAAAATGCGGGTTTAAAATAAGGTTATTAGTCAGATATTAAGTTTCAGGATTAAAAAAAAAAATTTTTCAAATTTTTTCTTTAAGTACCCCTATCTGCACACAAACTTTGAATCACATTGTTAGTAGGTAAGTTTATTTTTTGATTTCATTATTAGTTTTATTATTGTCCAATCATAATCGAATGATTTGGTTTTGCAATAGAAGGTAATATTAGCTAAAATAATATTTTTTAGTAACACATTGAATTCCATATTTATTAATGAATATGAAATTAATGAATATACTAGTAACAATGAACACCTTATATAGAATATACGGTGTATATTAAGGGACAAACAAAGCAACCGCGAACTGCCAATTGTGAGCAGGTAAAGATTAAGTTAATTATTTGAAACAAATGCATTTTAAAATTCAAATATTTTATGGGTTAAACATTTTATAAAAATAATATCATTTTGTTTTAGCATGATTTTGACACAAATAAACTGTTAAATTAAATATTACTTTTTGCTTGATGTAAAGTTGGCTTTACTTGCTACTGATTTATCAAAATGGAAAACACATCTCTATTACAAAAATTGAAGCTGAAAATAACTTTTAACAACCATATTTAACGTACTAAAATAAGCATTGATGTGATAAAAAGTTTTATTTTAATTCTGAAACAAACTATATTTTGTCAAAAGGCTTGAAAAAATGTTAAAGCAATGAATTGATAGGAACTGCTTTGGAAGAAAAAAAGGCGACATAGTAGGCGACATACAGCAAAATAGTAAAAATAGTTTGAGCTTTTCTTACGAAACTGAACGCATTCTTAAGATTATGTCTCAACATCCTATAATTTCATAAAGAAAGTTTAATAACGAAATACAAGTTAACGAAATATCATATTTCTAAAAGTAATCAAGTAATTTATATGGTTGTCGCTAATATCTGAAGTTGTTAAATATGATTAAAAAACACTTGTTATGTTTGACAAAAATATGTAAACAGAAGAAAAGTTTAATAACATACAATTTATTGCTATCAATAAAAAAAATATATATTGTTTGATAAAATAATATTGGTATCGAACTTTTCTATACATTTTCCATATATATAAATCCTAGCTGTCCCAATATATATATTCTTTTCTATTCCAATTCGATTACTTTTGTACTTGTTTCTTATTTTCTTTATAATATTTTAGCAAAACAATTTTTTCTAAAAAATGCTTCAAGAGCATAAAAAATTACATGCGCACCTTTTCTGCATATGTAAAGCCTATAAAAGATTTATAAAATGACTTATTTTTTCTAAATTGCATATATTCTAATCTTAGTGGTTTTATGTGCTGGAATCAGTGTCAATTCAGGAGGTTCGAGTCCTTTTCTTAGTGTTATAAGTCTTGAAACTTTTTTAATCTTGCCTCATATATTTGTATCAATTTTCTAAATTTTCTACTTGGATGAAATAATATGTTTTGTGTTTTTTCAATTTTGTCATTTTTTTAAATTTACTTGCATCAATACAAAAAATAAAAGCAAAACAGCTAAAGCAAAACAAGCTTGCAGGGTCTTTGAGAGCGCCAATGGCGTCCGAGTTTAAAATGGGAAACAGAGCCTCTTTCCTAAACCAAGAAAGTTTTTGATTTTTTCAACACCAAATTTTTGTTTTTATTGCATCATATTGTATTTCGATGTTACTAATAATTCTTTGTATAAACGGTTTATTAAAACTGACATATAAATCAAAACACTAGTTTTAAAATCAATAAATAAAAAGTCAAACAACAAATTATACGCGAAAGGTAAATAAGGATATTAAAAATAAAATTTTCTCGCTTTTCTTGCCGCTGAAATATTGATATCATCAACATAGGTCACCAGTTTAGTCAAATCTTTTTCAATTGAAATAATTCTTATGTCATTAACGCAAACCAGATCCATAGTTTAGCCGAGCGAATTTTTTACAATCTTCGTTTACTAAACGACCATTTATCTTCAGCAACCGACACATGAATTGTGTTAAAAATCCGGAGGATGATAAAAATGTTTCTTAAAAAGGCGCTCAAATTTTTCCTCAAAAATTTGATTGAACACCAGCAACGGATTTCTTTACTTAAAAATTGTTTTGCACGCATTATTAAAACAGCGAATATCTTCAGATCCTCTTTGTTAACATATTTTCAATACAACCGTGCATGTTCATAAGCTTTATTTTTAATGAAAAAATCCATATAGGTTTACAATATGTTTTCATTCATCTGGTTGGAGATGAATGAAAACATATTGCAAACCATCCTGATCAAATCTTTTATTAATTTGCTGGATCATACTTTTTAAAATAACATTAAAATGTTAACTTTGAAGTCTTTTATTTAGCTGTTGTGGAAATGGGCTGTGTTTGATGCCTCATTGTGAAAACGTCTCAGTTTACGCTTTCTTTTTAGTAGCGGTTTCAGTTTCAAGCGGTTTAGCTACAGTCTCTTAGAAAATTTGCAACCAAGTGCATTTATTTCCTTCATAATCACCTAGCAGTTGATCAATCAAACGTAACTCGTAACAGCAGAAAAAGTTTTGCACCTAACTGTAATAACCATTACAAATTTAAAGAGAGGTATTTATGGATTAGGTTGCTATCAGGTGTGTTTACTTAACATTCTTAATTTCATTATTGGTTATTTCATTATTGGTCTCTGAACACCTTCTAGTTATGTTTACAAACCGTATGACTACTATGAAAAGCGCAAAAAATTTGATTATATAAAGTAAAGAGCGATAGCTTTTGAACAAGAACTTCTAAGTACCTACAACACAGCGAGTATCCGCAAAATTGATGAAAAGAGTGTAATTAACCTTATAAAAATCTTTATTGGTAAAGTTGATGGTCTTTCTAAATATCCTAATTCTAAAAAGACTACTATTGCTTACCAAGACTGTTTGAAATCATATAAAACTGTATTTGGTAAATGTATTTGTGAATGTGATGACAGCGGT